GAGGAACTGGTGCAAAAAATTCATCGGTTTCAAAAATTAGATGATACTTTTCCAGTTTGAAGCCATTTGAATATTAAAAAATCATTTAGAAGTAATTTCTGTTTTACAAAGATCTTTCTAACAGATTTCTATTTAACATAGTTGTACTTACATCTTTTAGTGAACTCTCAAAAATAATAAGATCGTGCAAGTTGGACTTTTTACTTGACTAATCAAGTTTAAATAATTAGAACCAAAAGGGGTGGCTTTTAAAAGACTATTAGCATAGCAACTAAAACCTGCCTAGGTATCTTGTACAGACCATCAGTACAACCATGCAGGTAGAAAGTTCTCCACAGCACTGAAATATGCTTTGGTAGGTGTTTGAGAGACTTTGCTTACACTACTAACCAACACTCACCCCACTCGTGGGCTCCTATGCTCAGGGCTCTTGGGTTTTCTTTGTGTCACAGAATAAGGCACTCAGACATGAAAAGCTGAGTGGATTCAAATTTTAAAAAAATCCAGCAAGGAGATGGTCCTGCCTCTCATTTTCAGGCACTGAAGCTTCAGTTACAAAGTCAGGACAAAGCAGTCTGCAAGAGGGGACCTGGGTCTGAGGTGCTGGGTAAATATTGAGCTTACTCCAGGGCTGGAGCGATAGCACAGCGGGTAGGGCGTTCGCCTTACAAGCGGCCAACATGGCTGACCCGAGTTCGATTCCTCCGCCCCTCTTGGAGAGCCTGGCAAGCTACCGAGAGTATTTGATATGCCAAACACAGTAACAACAAAGTCTCCAATGAAGACGTTACTGGGCCCGCTCGAGCAAATCGACGATCAACGGGAGGGCCTTTACCTTACCTTACCTTACTCCAGGGAAAGTTGATGAATCACTCTTAGAGCCCACACCACACAGGATCCAAGAGCTTTCCGCTGATTACGTTATTTGACCCTCAAAGTTGAACTATATTCCCTCCTTCTTGGACCTCACAACCAGTTGGTCCAGGGTGTTGATATTTGGTTTCCATATGGCAGGTATTTTGGTTAAGATAACTTGATCCAAAGAAACTGTATAGAAAATCCAGATCTATTGTCTACCATTTCATCCAGAGGAAATATTAGCAATTTGGGGAGGGAATACCTAGAATGAGCCCCAAAGGAAACCCCCGGTTTGTCGGTATTGATTTACTGCTGTAAATCCCAGTCTGATTGTCTTCTTCTGGAGTAGTGAACCTCCTCTGGGTTCCAGTAAACACAAGACTGACCATTCCTGTCTTTCAGGTGACATTGCTATCCAACCACCAAGAGCTCCTATTCCTGATGAATAGACTCAAAATCTGCCGTCTACTCAGTTCTGGTATGTTCCTGTATCCCTTCCTGTATTTCCCACATGCTCATCTAGTTGTAAATGAAAACATCTCCATGTCTTGTTGGCCATACATATAAACACAATCAATGCCATTTTTTGGATTTAATTAGTTGCAATCACATACATGTGGGGATAAGATGGAGGAACAAGAAGTACCCAAGTCCTGTCATGTCACCCAGAGATCCTGTTTCTTTTATGTCTGACCTCATACAAGACCATCCTCAGGAACAAGGATTTGCTGGTTGTCCCTGAAATATCACATCAAAGGACAGCTGGATTTATTTTAATTTCAGCCATTTCATTTCACCTGTTTCATGCTCTAGGATATTATTTTTAAACCTCAGCTATTTAAGTTTAGATCCCATAGTTTCAAGTTTTAGTATCATAATTAACAATATTAGAGACTTATTTCCACTGGGCACCCTCGAGCAAATCGTTGAACAACCTAAGGACAGTGACAGTGATTTCCAGAAAATCCTGCTTTTCTTCAGACTCAGTGCAGACAGTATTTAGGAAACAATGAGTCAAATCCAAATGTTTAGGATTATAGACCATTATCTTGTGATTGATAAAGAATCAGAAACAGAGGAGTGGGCAATCTCTCAGTGCTGAGGTGCATGACTTTCTTTACAAGAAATAAATGAAGTTTGATCTTCAGCTCTGTAGTCCACTAACACTAATAAGTGTATCCCTAAAGTGGTGGCCCTGGTGGACCCCAGAAGTGTCACTCTAGAGCAGAGCAACATCATGGGGCCCTAATATTGATTATTGGCCTCAGTTGGCAGAGTATCACTGTTTGAGGCAAGAAGGCCCTCTGAGCACTACTTTGGAAGCCTTCCCAAATGAATATAAATGAGAACATCTCACAGTAAAATTTTGAAATTAGGGGTTAGGCCAGATGCACAGGTGTCAGGAACTGTTCTTGGATCTGTTCTCAAGAGTAATCCCTGGTGTTGCTAGAGGACCATACTTTATCAGTATAAGTTATTGCCTGTTCATGTAGTTTTATATTGTTCCTTCAAATCTGCATTATAAATTAGTTAGCTGATTTTCTTGGTGAGAAGCTCACTTAAAAGAATTTTTTCTTTTTTGAAAACCACACCCCCGACATTTTCTGAGTCATAGAATCACCTTTGATAATTCTCCTGTCAATATTTTGGTCTTTTACATTACAGATATGTTCTTTTATTTTTATTTATTTATTGTTTTTGCTTTTTTTTGGTCACACCCAGCTATGCACAGGGGTTACTCCTGGCTCTGCACTCAGGAATTACTCCTGGTGGTGCTCGGGGACCATATGGGATGCTGGAGATCAAACCCGGGTTGGCTGCATGCGAGGCAAAAGCCCTACCCTCAGTGCTATTGCTCCAGCCCCACAATTATGTTCTTTAATTTCTTAATTTATATCTAGCTGCTTTCAATATTCTGACTCTGTCCTTGGATTTTGTTATTCTGAGTGAAATGCTTGTTTGCATGTGACTGACACAGGTTTGATTCCTTGCACCAAATATGCAACCCCCACACAACCACTGCCAGGAGTGAAACCTAACCACAGAGCTAAGAGGAATCTCTAAGAACAGAGAGGTGTTGAAAAATCCCCATACAATCAAAGCGACCTTCCAACAAATCAAGATATATCAACAGTTACATCACTGAAAGCAACTTTCATTAAAAAACTGGACACCCTCCAAAACATTATAAAAGCAAATAAGAGATAGTTTGGGAAGATATGTATCAATGAGGTATTAGAGAGTTCTTGAGGCATCAGCAAAGTGATTCTAATATTTTTGATCATCTTTCTCAAACATTGGAAAGGGAATTTTTGTTACAGGCAAGAGAAACAATGTGAGTGTGTGTTCTGATTTCTAGTATTAAGATTACTCTGAACGCATGAAAAGATAATCAGCAGTACCATAACTCTCTGCACCTCAATAAAATGGTAAATCAGAAGGAAAAATACTCCTAATTTTTTATTGAGTCACTTTGATTTACAATACTGTTAATGGTAATTTGGGGCATACATCATTTCAACACCAACCCATCACCAGAGTACCTGATTCTGTTCACTTTATATATGAAATTGCAGGTTTGATCCCCTGACATCAGGTGATCTCTATGGTCCAAGGTATATGATAGAAACAAATAGGAATGGAAACCCATAGCTACAATATATTTGGAAGTTGGGTGGAGGTTTTCTGAGGCACATTTGGAGATCCCCAAGGTAGATTACTGGCACTCGGCTTAGAAATTATTCCTGGTGGAGCTTGGAGGATATGGGATACCATAAATTCATTTGGGATTGACTGTTTTCAAGACAAGTGTCAACCACAATATCTCTTTGGCCCCAAGCATCAATCTTTATCTTCATATCATCTCCCTGAGTCACTACCCAGATCCTCTACTGTCCTCACCTTCAAAGTTCTCTATAGTATAAACCTCCCTCCCCTGCTACTACCTCTGTGTCAACAATCATTTGTGAATGTTTTTGGACTCTCCCTTCAGGTCCAGACCTTCTCTCAGGCGTCACCCTCTCAGATAAACATTCTCTGTCTTAGAAAAATCATGCTATCTACCCCTGAAAGAGGGATGTCACACATAAACTTGCTCTTCAGACTCTAAATCCACAAAACGTTTGAAATCTACTGATTATCCCTTTCCTCATCTCAGAAATATGTCCTTCAAGGTGCATTTCATTGTTCCCTTTTCCCAGGAAATCCCAAGTTTCCTTGTAATTCCAAGCATTCACTAAAATTTATTAGGTTGATCTAGAGAGGATCATGTAGAAAATGGGAGATGTTGATTATTGAGCAGCCTAGGAAGTGACTTCATAGCTAACCTACCTTTCCTCTGCTCATCTGTGCTTTTATCCATGTAGTTTTCATCTTAAGCACCCCCTTCCCTAAACTTACAAGCTGGTATGTTATTGATTCCAGTGAAAGCCCAAAGAGAAAATGATTGAATGAGATGAGGTAGGAGGCTGCATGTGTTAAGGGATTTATTCTGTAGCACAGTGGTAGAGAGTTTGCCTTGGCCAGGGCCGGTTTGATCCCTCCGTCCCTCTCCAAGAGAGAGCCCGGCAAGCTGCGGAAAGTATCTCACCTGCACGGCAAAGCCTGGCAAGCTACCTGTGAAGTTTTCAATATGCCAAACAGAGTAACAAGTCTCAAAATGGAGATAATACTGGGCCCGCTTGAGCATATCGATGAACAATGGAAGGGCAGTGCTATAGTGCTACAGTGCAGAAATGGGAGGAGGTCAAGCTCTGATGGAGTCAGGGACCTCTGTGTCACCAAAACCCAGGTGAAAGACATTATCATTCTGAGACAGCAAGGACCGCTGTAAACCTTGCCCTAGTGATGTGGAGGAGGCTGTTATCCAGGGAATCAAAGACCTGCCATCTGGTCCCTGTTCAGTGCTCACTGAACCCAGTTACTGGTTGCTCTCTATCTCCATGGGTATTTTCTTATCAGACCCAACCCAGATGCAGTGCAGCAAGATTTGAGGCCAGGACATTGGAAGGGAACCAAGGGGCAAGAAGGAGCTTAGTTGACCTAAGCAGAAGAGCACATTTGCATAGAGTGGGCTTTCCTGAGTCTGAAGGTATAAGAGACCTGAGACATATCTGTCTCACAGGATCCTGTGTGTCTGCACCATGGCCTGGACACCACTCTTTCTCCTCTCCTTCCTCCTTCACTGCACAGGTGAGGGTGTTTATCTTCATTGCAAACTCCAGCAAATTGCCTGCCCTTCATAGTGGTAATGTTCTTCTTTGCTGTCTTCTGAAAGTGCTTATCTTGTGTCTGTGTTTTCAGGGTCCCTCTTTCAGCCTGTTCTGACTCACGCACCTTCAGCATCTGCCTCCCTGAAAGCCTCAGTAAGGCTTAACTGTACCCTGAGCAGTGGCTACAGTACCTACAATATGGAATGGTACCAGCAGAGCCCAGGAAAAGGCCCCCAGTTTGTGATGCGTGTGGGTCTCAATGGTCAGTATGGATCTAAGGGAGACGGGATCCCTGATCGCTTCTCGGGATCAGGATCTGGCCTGGATTGGTTCCTGATCATCCAGAACATCCAAGCAGAAGATGAGGCCGACTACTACGGTGGAGCTGACTATGGCAACTATGTGTAACCACAGTGATACAGGCATAGGAGAAGTGAGACAAAAACCATCCCTTGCCTGTCAAATCTCCATATCTCACCGAATGTTCATTGTACTAAAATGGTTGCTGTTTGCGGGTTATATTTTGATCCATTATTGCTCATTAGAAATCAATTCTTCCTGTTTCGATCTATCATTATTTTAATATAATGTTGGAATTAAGGGATAGTGGTTTGAGGATTAAACATTTATGTTCATAAAATAAAAGTTTTATCATTTTTATATTACAAATTTGCTCAAGCGGGCCCAGTAACATCTCCATTGGAGACTTTGTTGTTACCATGTTTGGCATACCGAATACGTGATGGGGAGCTTGCCAGGCTCTGCTGTGCGGGCGAGATACTCTCGGTAGCTTGCCGGGCTCTCCGAGAGGGGCGGAGGAATCGAACTCGGGTCGGCCATGTTGGCCGCGTGCAAGGCAAACGTCCTACCGCTGTGTGAGAACAGTTCCTCATAGTGTAGATTTTAAAGTTTCTTTTTTTCCTAGATGGAATTATTTTTTAAATCCTTTCTATGATTAATCTATAGAATGATTGGTATCAGGATTTTCTTTGATGGTATTTTGTTGACATGTTTGTCCATTTTTATTAGTCGTTAATGCCATGTTCAGATTTTCTGTGTTATTGTAATTGAATCTTAGTGTATGCACTTGTGTGAATGCTTTATTTTCCTTAAGTTTATTCAACTGGCTTTAATTATCATTGCTATAGTTTAAGTAGTAGGGTTCAGATTATTAATATAGTACTGATATATCGATTACTGCACAGCACCGCCACCAAACTACCCAGGACTCTTTATCCCAGTCCCTATGTCACCTCTGGTGCAATCCTCCTTCCACCTCACCCATACCCCTAATTCTTTGTTGATTGAGAATGCTGGTTCAGGTGCATACTTTACCTCCAAGGCAACCACCTATGCTCTTAAACACTCCACATGTTCTTCCTTTTGACTTCACAACACCTAGCCTCCCCCCTCCCCCCTGCCCTCTCATGTCTTCAATGTCCAAGATTTATTATTTATGGACATTGTCCATACCCTTGATTTATTCCTTATATGCTAAATATGAGTGATATCAATTTTATCTGTCCCGGATTCCTGAAAGAAATTAAATCAGCTGGTCGCTGGCCTGATGTGAAAAAGAAACAACCCTCTGGGAGATCTGAGCATATAGAGACCAAGGGAAAGGACAATCCTTTAAGTAATTAATAAGGGTTTCTGTGAGTTTAGACAGTTGGTGCCTGCACAATTAAGACATATTTCGTGAAAATTTTTTTCAGAGGGCTGGAGTGATAGCACTGCAGGGAGGGCGTTTGCCTTGCACGAGGCCGACCGGGTTCAATTTCTCCACCCCTCTTGGAGAGCCCAGTACTGAAAGTACCTCGACTGCATGGCAAAGCCTAGCAAGCAACCGAGCATATCTTGCCTGCACGGCAAAGCCTGGCTAGCTACCCGTGACGTATTCGACATGCCAACAACAAGTTTCACAACTTGTTGTGAGATGTTGCTGGTGCCTGCTCCAGCAAATCGATGAACAATGGGAGAACAGTGCTACAGTGCTGCAGTGCTACAGGAAAAATACTAAAATATCAAATGATCTTTTCTTAAACTAAAATAATGAGCAAGATTACATGATCAATAATGAACTGTTTCCAAAGTGAACAACTTATCAAGCAACTAAGCAAAACTCAGATAAAACTCCAAAACGCATATGCACAGAGAACAAAGAAATAATAAGCATAGGGAAATCCTTTCGCAAAATATGAAGATATGTTTCTTAGTACGCTGGAGCGATAGCCCAGCAGGTCGGGTGTTTGCCTTCATGCAGCTGACCCTGGTTCAAGTCTTAGACCCCTCTTGGAGAGCCTGGAAAGCTACCGAAAGTATCTTGCCTGCACGGCAAAGCCTGGCAAGCTACCTGTGACATATTCAATATGCCAAACACAGCAACAACAAGTCTCACAATGGAGACGTTACTGGGCCCGCTCGAGCAAATTGATGAACAACAGCAGGACAGTTACAGTTACAGTTTCTTAGTACTTAGACAAGTGTTCAGTCTATGCAATCTGGTTTTTTTTTCCTGAATCACTATTCATGATTACTTCTGTCAAATACTTAAAAATGTTCATGAATTCAAAACATTGTTGAATTGGTTGTAGCTCTTTCAGGGTCAGGGGAATGAGACCCATTGTATTTACTGGTTTTGGTATATTGAATACACATGGATAGCTTGCCAGGCTCTGCCTTGCAGGCAGGATATTCTCAGTAGCTTGCCAGGCTCCCCGAGAGGGATGTAGGCTTTTAGGGTGGCCTCTAATCACCCTTGCAGGTGTTCCCATGATTCAAGCCATATTTGAACCCTATCAAATATGGTGCGGTAATCTTGTATTAAGTGTCTTATGATGTGTCCACTTTGTGACCTCGTGGTTTGAAAAGCATCTGGAGCGTGGCGGCAGCTGTGTAGTAGAGCTAGTGGAGGTCTGCCGATGAGGTGTTTATCTGGTACCAGTAGAGTGAGTCTTCTGTGTGGAATCCTGGGTCGCTGGCATTTGGTGGAAGCAGACAGGGCAGGGTAGAGTGGGGCATCTGGTTTTAATCCCTTGGTCGCCGGAGATTGTTGGGAGCAGGTAGAGGAATCCAAAGAGGAATCAAAAGAGCTATACCTGGAGTATCACACTTCACTCAAGTGAGAGAAAGAAGCTGGAGTTCTGACCTCCATCAACGGTTGAGAATCAGGGATGCTGTCTTGTTTGCCAAGTTGTCAAAGTTCAGATGGGCTGGACACGTAATGCAATTTGGAGATGACCGCTGGACTAGAGTCATTACTGACTGGATTCCACGGGATGTCGAAAGACTGCATGGCTGCCCACCTTTGAGATGGTCAGACTTCTTCGTCAAGACCCTGAACGGTTGGTTTGAGGTTCTTCGTGTTCCTAGATTGAGCATATGCCAGTGGGTTACACTAGCACACGACAGGGATGAATGGAGATGTTACTGGCACCTGCTCAAGCAAATCAATGAGTAAAGGGATGTCAAATGATCAAGTGATCAAGTTGAATTGGTTACTTTGGCAGTGACACTTATTTAAGTTTAAAATTTTTTTTTTTGAGAAATGGCCAAAATATCCTAAAATCTCTGAACTTGAAGGACACTTTCCTAATGGATATAAGGAAATAGATATCTGACATTTTCCTAATAGATAATCATCTCTGGTGTTTCTAACATCTTAATTATAGATATTTTTTACAGTTAGCATTTATAAAGACTTTTCTGGGATTGGGAAACTTCAGAATCACTTAGAGTATACAGCAATAGTATTTGAAAGATCAGACTACAGTTGCATGAGTAGAAACTTTGACCTGATGAACTCTAGAAACTGCTTGGTTTTCATGATTTTGCGCTATGATCTATGCGTGTTTCTATTCTTAGAATTCATCCTTAGAAAATCAGGGATGTATATGTACCACTCCATGTAGCCTAAGAGCTTTGAGACTCTTAAGGAATTAAGCCTGTAAATGACAAGGTTAAGAAACCCACTGTATTGTATTTTTTTAAGATTTTTCCCCACCCTTTTTGTTGATTGGTGTTAGATACAGTTACAAAGCTTTCATTTTTGAGCTTCAGTCATACAATCATCAAACACAGATCCCTTCACCAGTGTTCATTTTCCACCATGAAAATCCCCAGTATCTCCCCCCACCCCTACCCCATTACAACCTTTCTCCTGGCTGTGTGGCAGACAATTTCTGCCATACTTTCTATCTACTTTGGTTACATTCGATATTTTGACACCAGTTCCACAAACACTCAAAACTACAGAAAAGACAATGCTAGACAATTTGTTTTGTATTACCTTCTATGGATAGAATATAATGTCCAGGAAATTCTGTGTCATTCTCTTCTGGGAGCTTTAGTTTATAGTCTCTGGGTCTTGACTGTTGATGAGATTACATGGCGGGGCAGGGGCAGTTTGTGTGTGTGACTGCCAAGCTACTGAAAAAATGAGGACATGTGGAGAGGAGGCCAAGTCCCAATCCAAGCAAGCTTGGAGATCTCAGTCATGGGTTCCCACATACCTGGGTTTTCCTGTGCTCTTGGGTGAGGTTCATCCAGGCTTGGATAAGGTTCATCCCCTCTTGGGTGAGGCTCGTCTGAGTGTGCAGAGAGTGGCCTTGAGCATGGTGACTCTTGGGTTCTGGAGGTGTTCGGCTATTGGGGTTCTGCAAGGGGCAGGGAGGGAAGCTCAACCTGCCCCCCCTCTGAGGTGCCATGGTGAAGACAGCCTGGCGCAGGGTCAGGACATTCTGCAGCCTGTGTCATATTTCTAAAGCAGTCTGCAAGATTCTGAAAGAAAAAACTAGATCATCTTTTCCTTGTGGGGAGACATCAACTACCTGCATAAATGAACAGAACATGCTATGTAGATTCAACAGAGAAACAAGCTGTTTTGAGTGAGTTGCATGGAGAGAAACATCCACAGGCCTGTCACCACTTGTACAGAAATATCAGTTCCCAGGGTACATCAGTCATTGCAAGAAGCTTAAAACTGAGGAGAAGGACACAAGTCATTCTCATGATCTTGTAAGATTTTCTGATAAGATTTGGATTGAGGAGAGTTGGAACACTCCTGAGTTGCACCTTCCTTCATAGATCCCACCCACCATGCATGGAATGTGGCTTATATACAAGTACCCCAGGTCACAAGAACCAGGTAGTGTAACTCCTGGCCCAGGTCAATAGTCCTCTTTTCTCCTCATCTCCTGAGTCCTCAGGGACATGGTGGAAGGAACAGAGAATAATGGCTTGTCGAATCCACCAACTCCAGCCCATGCAGGGTAGGAAGATACTGAGAGAATTGGGGCTGCTCTTCCATCTCCACTACAGAGCTGTGGAGGTTTTAAGATCTAAGGCTTCGACAAGACAAGGGATCCTTTCTTCCTCACCTTCCTCACATAATGCAAAGGTTAATGTTG